AATGGTTGAACATCAACCATTTCCTTTTGCTACAGTGACTTTTATATTCCTTTCATCTTCTCTTGATGCTTTCTGCATCATTCAATAATTTTCCCAAAGAATCCTTCAGTAACAAAAGTTGAGGCTTGAATTTTTTCTTCAGTTTTCCCAGCTTGAGACATGCTGAGCATGTTCTTCCTTTTTGGTTTTCTGATTCCAGATCTTTGCACATTTTGTTGTAAGATTTGACTTTATCTTCTTGAGTTGACCTTTATAATGTTCTGTTCAGCTCTTGTACCTTCTCATTTCTTCCATTTGCTTTAGCATCTCTATGCTGGAAAACAATTTTCAGTGTGTATTCTGACATCCATTTTGTCCTTTTCCTTCTTTCTCGTCTTCTTAATGAGAGTTTTTGCTTTCTTCCTGTATGATGTTCTTGATGTCATCCTACAACTCTTCTGGTCTTCAGTCTTTAGTGTTTAATGTATCAAATCTGTTTTTTGGATGATCTCTAAATTCAGCTGGGATATATTCAAATCATATTTTGGCTATTTTGGACTTGTTTTCATTTTCTTCTGCTTCAGTTTGAATTTCCATATGAGCAACTGATGGTCTGTTCCACACTCTGCCCCTGGCCTTGTTTTGACTGATGATATGGACTTTTCAGTCGTCTCTTTCTGCAGATGTGGTCAATTTGGTTTCTATACATTCCATCTGTCGAGGTCCATGTGTATGTATAATCTTCTTTTATGCTGTCTAAAGAAGGTATTTTAAATGAACAAATAATTGGTTTTGCAGAATTCTATCATGCCATCTCCAGCATCACATCAATAATCTAGGCCATATTTTCCAGCTACTGATCCTTCCTCTTTGTTCCCAACCCTTGCATTCAGGGTAATCGCTATCGGAATTTTTAGGAATGAAATTATCCACTTTATTTCTTTGGGATGGGAGATGTATAGCATGCTGTGGGGCCTGAACTATATCTGGAGGGCTCAGGAAAGGTGGCTACGGGGAAATAACATTTCAGTTGAGACTTGAAGGAGGAATAGGAGCTTGCCATATAAAGTAAAGGGAATGGTGTTATGAGGGGAAAGGAATGCCTAGTTTGGAATCATCTCTTTAATAGAAACCCTTATGTGAAACCCCAGAGAAGACAAAGTATTTTTATGTGTAACTAAGTTATATAAAAGCTTTTCTTTTAGAATCTTAGGGAAACAAGAAACTTGAAGAAGCATGCTAAGGCAGCAGTCTGCTTCTAGGCTGAATTTTATCTACTTGAAAGTGTATGCGAAACATATATGGACTGCTTCAAATGAGATAAATCTCAGTGTTCTTATATAACCTTCAATTTAGTGTGTTGTCATTAGTACTATTTAGCTCATTAATCTTTCTGTTATTAATTATCCATTTGTTTTATTGTCCAGATTTTTTTTTAACCCTAATTCCTCCTTTCTGCTACTTTACTTTAGACCATTCAGTCATCTGTTAGGTCTCTAGCAGAGAAGGGAAAGGGAATGATTTCTTTTTTCTCTTTAGGGAACTGCTTTATTAAGTGTTTAGATGGAAAGTAGGTAAGAAATACTAGATTATTGGATGATATTTGGGTTTTCCAGACTCAAGGTTTAATTAATAACTCTGTTTTGCAGTCAGAGGTATTCATTATTCTACATCTTATCATTATATTACTAAAAATGTCATTTAAGGTCATTTCCTTTTCATAGTTCTCAGAATATTTAGAATTCATAGTTTTTGGCTCTATTTCTTTAGATTTTAAATTCAGAAAGCAAGCAGGTAAGAATCTAGGATCTCTGCTAAGGGCACTAGTATTTTAAACTATTTCTATATCCCTTTTCTTGTTTTGTTTTTTTCCTATTGTGTGTTTTCATTATTAAAATTTAAGAGATTGTAGTATGACAGAGGTGTTTCCAATCTACTGAGCTATTTTAGGTGGCAGTTAAGAAGTGGGGGACAGCCTAAATGCCTTCACTTTGAAGGGCAGGTTTCCTTTGTGTAGAGACTAGTGTCACTGGCTTAACACCAAACAGAGCAGTAGCAGCTCCTTTCTTTTTTTTCCCTTCTTTTTCTTTTTCTTTTATATGAAACATTTTGAAATATTGACACTTAAATGTGAATTAAGAGTAGAATTTGGTCTTTGCCAAAATTATATATATGATCTTGATTGATTTTAAATATTGAGGGAAGAATGAGAAGTCTAAACTGGTGACATGATAATTCACATAATATAAAGAAAGTTACATCAAATTGGGTGTTGTAGGAAAGGAATCTTTCATCTACTTTATTTGTTAATATCCTATAGCTTCTCCACAGATTAAATAAAGATTTCATTGACCTGATAGTAGGGTCTAATCAAATGACAACAAAATGTCAAAATCTAAGAAAGAATATATCCAGACAGAGGGGGATGAAGGTAGGTTTTTGTAGACACACTTAGAATCTTATTTGGAGAGTTGAGGAAAAGTGCTAGGCAAAGTCAGATAATATTTTTTTGTGTGTATCTATATTTATATGATTTTTTTCTTCTGGGCCCAGACATCTAGGGTCTGCTAGAATAATTATTTATATGCATACTCTATTTTATTCAATATTTTTTGTGATCAAATTAGGTATAT